AATTAGGCGTGCACCCAAAAAATTGGAAGATTTGAACCAAAAATGAAGGCAGGGCCCCCCCCCCCCTACATCAAATGTGCCAACTCCACCATCCCCTTAAATTTTCATAATTTTGATGATTCACATAATAGTTTCCTATGACTAGAATATTTCATCGATTTTTTTTGTGAAAGATGGATCCCATGTCAGACTTAGACATCCGTCTTGTGTTTACATTACCGCCCGGAGACAGTACACTGCTGTACAAAAGATGCGAACACCTCTGAAATGACCTTTCTTGCATTATAACCTTGGTTGAAGCCAAATATAGGAGGGGAGTTTGGGGGGGGGGGGTATTAATCTATTTTAAACCTCTGAAAACTTTGGTTGAATATTATTTTTAATTCAATAAGTTTTGAATAGAAAATCCTTCAATTCAGTACGTTAAATTTTAATAAATAGTTTTAAGTCTTAAAATCATGAATTCATTCACTCCTCTCCTGGAGCAGAGACGAGTTAAAAAACGCTCATGAAAAAGCAACCACAGATCTTGAGAGGTAAAGTTGTTGAGCTTTCATAACCGTTTGTTTCTTAGAAATAGGACCATATTGACCTCTGTTAATGGCCCTATGGTGTACAATATTATTAAAGCTTTCTTTATTGCTCCTCAGTTTCGAAAATAAATCTTTAAGTACATCACACCACTAGAAAAAAAATACGAATCTTAGATCCAGTTTGCTGATCTAATAACTGCATTTCATGATTGGAGTTAAGATACTAAAAGGTCAGGCTGTCTTAACTAAAAATTAACTCACCGCACTCAAAGTAATATCTATCTCCATTTTAAAAATATTTTCAAGAAACCTTTACAGTGATAAGTTTTTTGTATTCGCCTCCTTGAGTTTAACATCTACAACAAAACTAATTACATGCATAGAAATAAAAAATTTAGAAAAACTGCTCTCATCGCGCCCACTAGTGAAAATGAAGTATTAATTTCACTAATCATTTCTAGCGCTTCATTTCTAATTAAGGAGCGCGCAAGCGCAAAGGTTCAAAAACATAATTTTATTTATAGCGCTTCATGTGGCATATTTATAATTTTTTTTTAAACTGAGGAGCAATAAAGAAAGCTTTAATAATATTGTACAACATAGGGCCATTAACAGTGGTCAATACGGTCTTATTTCTAAGAAATAAACGGTTTACTTTTAACTTTTTTATTTCTAATTACCAACTGAGGAGCGCGCATGCCACCAAACACATTTAAGTAGCGTTTGTTTACTTCTGCACTCCCCCCCCCTCCCTCGTACAACCAACATGGTGCAACCAAAAAATAATTAAAATTGTACCAAAACACCAATAAAAGTAATCTGAAAATCTGTTGATATAGAAAGGAACAGATACGATTTTGAGCTCAATGGTTTTGAAAGTTCAATAACTTCACTTTTCAAAATCTATGATTACCTTTTCAAGTTCTTTTTGTAACCCATCTCCGGTCCAGGAGAGGAGTGAATTTGTGTAAATTGTACAATTTTTTTGTCTAGTAATTTTAATTAAATGAATTGAAGAGGATAAAAGATAAAGATAGAAGCTTAACGCTGGTGAACACTTAAATTAATAAGGACTTCACAAATCTATATTATTACAAAATATGAATCAAAAACATGAAACAAAAACAAAATAGTTGCAAACAATTTAATTGAGTTAAGACAATAAAAGAGTAATCCATAGGAAAAGTGGTTGAAGTCCACATTGACCCCTTCCCCCCCCCCCAAAAAAAACACAAAAAAAACACAAAAAAAAAAAAACAATATTGTTCCCTCACCTGTGGACAAGGGGCTAGGGCTGCAGAGCCACATCTGGTTCTACAGGTTCTGAAAACCTCGATTTCTGCAGGTTTAGAAAACCTTGATTTCTCCAGGTTTAGAAAACCTTGATTTCTCCAGGTTCAGAAAACCTTGATTTCTCCAGGTTTAGAAAATCTTGATTTCTCCAGATTCAGAAAACCTTAATTTCTCCAGGTTAAGAAAATCTTGATTTCTACAGATTCAAAACCCCCGATTTCTCTAGGTTAAGGAACATGTAGGAGAAACTTTATCCAGGTACAGGGTTCTACTGGTACCAGGCTCCTGGGATAAGACCCAAGGACTAGTAGAAGATAGGAACCAGAAGGTTTAGTCGACCCGTGAACCGACTAATAGACGTGACTAGGGTTGTGTCGCTTGGATTAAAGGATTTCGTCGATAATTTATTAATATTCACAGCTCTTTTTCCTTACTGAAACAAATAAGAAAAATTAATTCAAAATTGGTCTACACGTTCATCGTCCAACCTAGTTGTTTCTCTCTTATTTCAACAGTTTTAAGGATCCCTCCCCCCTTTCCTTCAAAATTCTTATAAAAGGTACTGTACGCGTAATTTCAAGTGGAAATCATGCCTGATTTATAAGGGAGTGGTTCAGACTTGTACGTAGCGCACACTGGAAATTGTAGCGGAATACAAGCGATATGTTTACACACCCATATCTTTCAACTCGACAAACACACTCAGGTTTAAAGGTGCCGTTGTAAATCGGCCGTTGTCCTTTTTGCATGGAAGGTCACTTAAGTTTACGCTTACAGTTCCTTTATACTTCATATTTACCTAAAGGTTATGCAGAATTTTCTTATAAATATATCTAGAAGTAGAACAGCCATATCCCCGTTCACCATCTACAAATATGAGAATCATTAGTAATATCAACATCATTCTTCATGGGTATTTATCATTAGAAACAATTTTTAAGATTGGAGGAGAGAAAACATCACGTATCAGTCCCAATAAGATAAAAAACATTTAAACGGGAGCAGGGGAGGGCTTATTCAAGAAAAGATTAACCCCTGAATGTTTAAATACTTTAACAGAATTTTGAACAAGTTCCACAGAAGGTCCACGTTTTACCAATTTCACTTTTGTCTGTTGTCGATATTTGCTTTCCTTACACGTTGCCGAATTTTAACCCCGAGTTTTTACCTTTTAAAATTGTATCATTGTTTATTAAAAGAAAACTTAAACATAAATGCAGTTATTAAGTTTTGGGACATGTTATAAGATTATAAACGAAAAGTGGCTGACCTGTTTTCAATCAAAGAAAAGGAAGGAGTCGGTTTATAAAGTTTTAAATTTAAATTGATAACATGTCTAAGATAGAAATATTAAATAGGTGACATCGCGTCAAAATAATTGCGAGATTGGAGCGTTGTAAGCACTGTCTAGATCAATTTAATTTTTATGCGAATCCAGATCCTGTATCCGCTCAGAAAAATGAATCCTGATTAAGGTCATGAACATTTCTTTAGGAAATACTCAACAAAGAGAACGGATCGTGATCATTATCACTGGTTACAAGTATAAACTTTTTAAAAACTGACCTGTTGGGTGAAATTGGGATTGCATGAAGGATATGTAATTCCACTAAGCGAGGGTTACTGGATTTTCACTGAGACTCAAAGAGTCGCTCGATACACACAGTTTGCATATTAATATAGAATGATGTAGTTTATTTAATCTCTTGCATAATATAGCACTTAGGGATACTAAGGACAAGGTTTAAGGTCTCTTGGTGTACCTTTCCTCGCAATTATTCACTAGGAGTCACTCGTTATTTCTAAACCTATGTCACTTGGTATTCGGAGCATTTGAACTATCCGTCCTTTCAACCTTCCTTCCACCTTGTCTGGGGGGGCCACGTGAATCTTTGCCCCCTCCAGAACTAAGGGTTTTACCTACACGATGCTTGTCATGCTTGCCGTGTCCGTCGAATTTATGACCGTCATGCTTAAAGTGAGCATCTTGCTTATGCCCCTCAGTCTTGTGTACCGAGGAGTCGGGTTTGTGAGCAGTAGCTCCGTCATGTTTAGGAGCACCAGTCTCGAGTTTAGGATTAGGAACTGGTTCGTGTTTAGACTGAGTATCAGGTTTCTTGAGCTCCGTCACAGGATTTTTCCCGTCCTTGGAGGCAAGCTCCTTATCCTCGGAGATACTCAAGGAGTTCTTCTTCCTCTCCTCCAGTCCTGCTTTTCCTAGAGTTAAAATTATTAATTGGAGTTCATATGATTAAGTTGCGGGCAGTTTTTTACTCTTCGCAAAAAAAAATTGTTCCGAAATAAGATGAAAAATAAAAATGAAAAACAAAATAAAGGTGATTTTTATATAAAAAAAAATAATGCATGAAAATAAGATTAGCCCAGCCCCTATCTTAATTTTTTAAAATTCTACTCCGCTATTTATAGTCACTTATTACATTTTTGAACACTAATAAGTAAAATGAGTGTAGCCATGAATGCATAAAGATAAGAATAAATTTGATTTTACACAAAAACATTGGATCAAACTAAAAATAAATTAAATGTCACGATTATTTGGAAACATTAGGACAGCAAGGGGTGTGTACTGTGTTTACTGCATATTTTCCAGAATTACAATTGTTTGAATATATGGGGGGAAAAGATGAAAAATGGAACATCAAAAAGCCTGTTTTTGCATTCTTTCACATATTTTTTTTACCTAATTTATTTTTCATTTTACCCCCCAAAAAATTGTAATTTTCTAGTGCCTAAGATCCATTTTATTTTGATACGGATCCTGGATCCGGATCCAGGTCATTTCATATAGAATTTTGTATTATTTTTTTTCCTAAAACTTTATGAACTATTCAGAAATGAGGAAATTTTTATAATCTCTCTTTTTTTCAAAAGTTTAAATTTGGGTTTTAGGATCCAGATCCAGGAGGCCAAAATATTGCGGATCCAACCGATCCGGATCCTAAGCACTGATTTTTTCTAATTCAGTAAAAAAAATAAAAAATTTACTTCGAAGGAAGAAATGATTTTCTACTGGCATTGGGGAGTGGGTGGTATTTTTTAGGAAACCCTGGAAATCGATGGTGTAGTGTTATTGTTTCAGTAAATAGGCAAAAATGAAAGTAGTTTATTACTGTGTAAAGTAAAACAATAAAAAAGTAACAAAATTTCCACAAATTAGGACCAGAAACATAAATACAAAAAGGAACCGTTGTAAATCGGGCATTGTCATCTTTTCATGAGGGGTCACTTAAAATTACGCTTACAGTAACATTAACCGTAAAAAACCCTAAATTTAACCTTTTTCTGCTTCTGCTGCCTCCCTAGCCATCTTGGCCATCTTGAGCTTCTGAGCATACGTGATCTTATTATGACTTTCCTATAAATAAAATTATGACAAATGTTTAATAATAGTGCCATTCACTCATTTATAAACGATAATGGACAGGTATGAGAATCTGAGACAAATCAAATATCAAATATGAAATCAGTCTTAAAAAATTAGAATTTTTTTCTGACGCAATACTATTGAGATATCCAAATTTAAAGACATCCGACGTTTTTGTCAGATATTAACAACTGAACTATAGTGCAACTGAACTATACATTTTACTACAGACAGTTGAAGAAGTCTCGGACAAAAACTAATATATAACGATAAGTGGTTGAAGTGCGAGGACTGGTTGAAGAAGCCACTTCCTCTTGAATTTAAAACATCGAAAAATGTGGTTTAACTTAGCCTACGCAAATCAACTTCTTGATTTTTATAAAATTTGGTCTTTGTCTGAATCTGAATTCAATCAGTAGAAAGAAAAACCCTAAATAAAGCAAATCCAGAGTTCATTTCAGAGATTATCTTAAATCACGAATTCTCTGAGCATTCAAATATATTCAAAAATATTCGACAAAATTTAAAAAACCAACTGAGAACAGGCAAGAACTAACCAGTGTAGTTTTAGGTGATATGGCTCCATCTCTCTCTGCAGCAACGTTATTAATAGAAACCACAGGTGTCTTTCCAGGTTTAATTTCTCCGTTGAGAAGAGGTTCCGGTTCCTTTACTTCCGGTTCCTTTACTTCTGGTTCAACCCCGGGCAAAGGATCACTTATACTACAACTTTTACTCCGCTCACCAACCCTGGATACAAAATAATCAGAATTATAAAAATATCAAAAAATGTTTGTTGCAATTTTAGACTTTGCCCCTTTATTTTTAAATTCTTGAAAAAGTACATAACTTTTAACAAGTACAGTACAATACTATTCTGTTGAAGAATGAAACTTCTAAATAATATACTGGCCACTGCACTGGGTTAAATTACATCCCTTTTAAAAGAACAAGATTTTCTTGTTAGTCATTGAAGCTCATAAAAACCACTTATTAAGAACCAAGTTTTTTTCATACGCTAAAATTTTCTGATCTCTACATCTTTGCAACCTGATAGTGTAAACCTTTGGTTGTTGGATCTAACAACATTCATAGTTTGAGAATAGGTCGATGGGTTTACGACATTGGGTTTCTAAGATATTGGGATAGGAAAGTTCGAGTTAAGCAAAAACTTCCTGTAAAAGTCATGCTGTCAAATAAATACCTTGCTACGGGCTGCTTTTGACTAGAATCCTCCTGAGGGGGTTGTTGATGATTTGGAACAGATTCCACGTCTTCATCATCACTCCCGGCCTCCTCTCCGTCCTCCAACCTAACCTTGGCAGTCCCCTTCACCACCTCAATGAAGGGTCTGTCCTCATCTACCCGTCGCGGTGCACCCCCTGGTTCCCGACTTCCAGGTAGAGCAGGGAAATCATTAGTCTCCATATTAAACTCTGGAGGTTTAACTTCGTTACGAACAGGAACAGGAGCAGGATCCTGTTGTGCAGCGTTCCTTGGAGGAAAATTCTGACCACGGGGAGGTCCCCCCATCATTCCTCCTCCCCGCCCACTTGGAATGAAATCTTCGTTGCTACGGCCGCGACCACTTAAACCGCCTCTTGGTGCTCCTTCCCGTCCCTTACCCCCTCCTCGTCTTGAGAAGTCTTTGGGTTGAAGGGTTTCTACAGGAGTCCGAGGAGCTGGATATTGGTTTGGATAATATTGGTTCTGCTCCACCTCCTTGGGCGGAGGCTGGGGGCGTGGCGCAGCTTGGTGGTTAGCCTGATACTGTGTAGTTGTGGCCACTGGTGGGTGTGACACTCTGTTGGCGGGGGCGGGCTGAGACACCGCAACAGGAGCTTCTGGCACTGATCCAGTGCTGTACTTCTTCCCCTGGCTGGAGTTAGAATGTTGGCTTGAAGTCTCCCAGTTGTGCGACCTACTGCTGTTACTGTTTCTTGGCTGGAACCCGTTGTTATGGTTGTTGAACGGGGGCTGGGAATGGTAGTTATTCTGACCGTAGGGTGTGGTGTATGTATTTTGGTTGTTGTTTCGGGGCTCGTTATCCCGTCCCGTGCCTCTACCGCCGCCTCGGCGGTTCTTATACTGATTATTATGACCTCGGTTGGAAGACTGTTTAAATCCTTGGTTCTGGAAGAATCCTGTATCAGGAATCATTCCTGCTATATTAAAATATGGCGGATTGGCGGGGGCGCCACCAGTCCAGGCGGGTGCAGCCTGGAGTAAACCGGCACCGCCGGGAAAGTATGGCTGAATGTTAGGCTGAGATGTTTGAAGAAAAATATATGTGTTTGGCACATATTGATTGCCGGAGGAAGGCTGAGCTCCAGGTGCCGGAGCTAGACTTGAAGCAGGTGGGGCAGCTGAGCTAGGGGTTACTGTAGTTAACATTATGCTCTGTCCCATACTACTTCCAGGAGCTACCACGGACTGAACAATTAAAAACATTAGAGTTAGTCGTTGCAATCTAATATTTAAAGATTCTTTATTTCAACAATTCAATATTTTTAAAAAATCTTTAAAAATTACTCAACAGTAAACTTATAAATTACAAAAAAGTTGGTAAACTTAAACAACCTGAATCAGTTTTTAAAAAATGAAAATTAACTGATTAAGACTTTTAAACAAAAACATGTTTCCTCCACGAAAATGTATTTTCTGAAAATTTATGGGATTTTTTCCCGGATCTCAGAGAAAATAAAGTACAACTAAGTGATAGAAATGGACCAAGTGTTAGTTTTAGAACTAATATCCCCTGCAAAAGGAATGAAAATATTGAGCGAATTAATGTATAAATTTTTTAATTGCTTCCAGAATAATTTATAGGTTTGCGTCTATAATATTATTAACACCTTAAAGTGTTAAGTAAAGGTATATTACATTAAAAACAAAAACCTTGGTATTATGGTTCACTGGCCTATTTGATACAGAAAATACAAATAACTAACAGAGAAATAGAAAAACAGGAAGTACACGTAAAGTACACTTTAAAACAGTTATTAGACATAAAATTATGTATTTGCGGAAAAACCGGGTAACCCAGAATCTCAAAAATCCCCCCGTTAATAAAATTTTCTAACTTCCATTTATGTTTTTCATATATATAGGAATTATTAAGGAAAGTAATTAATCAAATGTCCTTTTTAATTATTAGCATACAGCCGCTCCTTGCCAACTAAGTCCTATCAAGCCTAAGAAGTGTGAAATGTCTTTCTATAAAATACCCCAACACCCTTTTTTACTTCCTGCTTTTATCTTACTACTTTTCTGTTTATTTTCACCTGCTGTACTGGCAGTGTTCCTTGCGGAGAGAGTACAATAGGGGTTGGGTAACTCAGCTGAGGTGGGGCACCAGGAGTAGGTGGTGGCAGGTTCGTCGGCGTAGCCGCCGGAGTCACTGACGGCGGAGTGACTGGTGCCAGGGAGGCGGACTGTCCTGGTGAAGTGACCGCTGTGGTTGGCTGCCTAAGTCCGTTGGGAGATCCCTTGTTGAACGTCGTGGTTCGGTTCATCGGCTTGGACTTAATGCGCGCCATGATGGGATTCCCCTTGTAAGTGCGCACTTCTTCCCTCAGGAACCTGTACGCCTTCTGCGCGTCCTCGTCGCTGTCGAAGGTGACGTAGCACATGGAGTTAATTGTCATCTCGCAGTCGACAAATTTAGGACAGTTTGGATCCGAGAAGAGAGCCTGGGAAAGTCAACATTGAAAAAAAATGATTTTTTAACATAAGGAAAAATCTATTTGAACTAGCATGTGAAATAGTTCTTTTAAAATCTAAATACAATGCGTCAAAAAAAGGTTACGTTTCAATAATAATGATTTTAAGAGCAATTTTCTTTCATCATTGTAGTTTAACTACTGTTAAATAGGTGCTCAGTTAAAACATGATTGGATAAAATGAAGAAATAAAGAAATAAGTTAGGAGGATGGATAACAAATATTAGGACAAAATATGTTAGTTTAAATACATTTTTTTCTTCAAATTTCCAAAAGCAAAAATTACTTTCTTTTAAAATCCAAATACTTTAAATTTAAATTTTTAAATCAAGCTCGTTTCTTTCTAATTTTACTTTTACAGGAGAAAGTGGTTCCATTTCCCAAAACTACCTTACCCCCACCCCCTCCTGCAGCCCTCTCTGATGAAAAAAAAACCTTACAGTACAGTTAATTTTTTCCCTCAATATGTTACCATTGCACATCTTTGGTATTATAAATACATTTGTAAAGGAACCGAAATATTGAAATACTGAATATAAAATGTTAAATTTGACATAGTTTACCTTAATTTCCTCAACTGGAGTGTTCTCCGGCATCTCCCTAAGGATGACAGTGCAGCGGGTGTGGTTGGGACGAACCTTCTTCCCGTCCACGTCCACCTGCACGTTCTGAGATTCTAAACAAACAAAATATTTAAAGAAAATCAGGGATACATTCATGAACTTTCGCATTATTATCAGACAAACCCACTACATTTGTACAGGGGCCCATATAATTCCATCCAATACGATCCCAACTGTTTTTGATATTAGAGAAATTGTAAACAATTGGAAGTATGATGTCAAGGTGTAGAACAAATTCCGCAGAATGTAAACTACAACGGAGTGTTAATATTTCTGTACATCATGATTTATATCTTCACTCCAAATGCAGTACACATTTCTGAACTGTAGTACACCCACACAAAAAACTTAACAAAGTTCATAAGGACGTAAAAAGTATACTTTCATGCCCCTAAATGTATATTCAATCCCGATCCCATTTGGATCAGAACAGAAATGGAATTATAGGGACCCCTGCATTTGTAGCCTTCGATATTTCAAATCTATTTAAACCCTATCTCTGCTGGGGTACTTGAAAACCAGGATATGCTGGGGGGGGGTCCCCCCTTCGGATTCAATTTAGCTTGATTTAATCTACACTAAACCCTAGCAAACAAAAATATGTTTTCCTAGAATTGGTGATCTAATTTAATTCCATCGTACTCAAATTGAAAAACATAGGAAATTGAATTTGTGACTGTAAATACTTTTCTCGAGAATACGACAATATTTCCAGAAACGTTTATTGTTCCTTAAAAATTTCATTTTAAACTTTTAAAGAGAATCCAAGTAACTCGGTCAAAAATCGGAGAGTTCCATTGACAATCATTGTATTCCGAGTTGTAAAATCATAGATATCTCCACATCTTTTTCGCAAATTAGTTTATTATATCAATTACTTTATATGTAATATATCTCATTTAAAAGATGGTGCGTAAATATAAACCAGCTTTTACTTCGTAAAACGCATCTAAGACAATTAAATAAAGGTTCTTTAACAAAGAATTCCAACTACATTAAACAAAGGAAGAAATTATTACTCATATATATACTCTAGTTTCAGTTTAGGACATGATGTAACGAAAGTCCAATGAACAAGGAGAAAAAAACGAACTCCGTTTCTAGATAAACTAAAAACTAATAATATGCAAATGAAAAAATCTCCCTCCCGCCCTTCAGATTACAGAGATGTTAGTTCTAACTACTATAGACTATTCTAGTATTTAAATTAGTATTGTACTGCATCAGCAGAATAATCTGCAAAATGAGAAAACTTGTAACTAATCTAAATGAAAAGACAGCTGTTCGTTAAGAAGCTTAAGTCTTTGAGGGAAGTGTATTTAAATTTCATGGAAGGATCTGACATCTGTAAATGGAAACATATATTCAAATGCTCCCCAAATAATGCAATACGCGTCCGATTCCAACAGCATCAATGAGGGCAACATCACCGATTATTATCTTAAGAAGTGTCGAATTTTTCAATTTTTTCTTTTATTTGTAACTTCTGCATGGATCTACTTCTACATAGAAACAACAATTTGGAATCAATTTTCAGATTAAAAAAAAAAAAACAATATCTTATTAAATTTTGCTCAGAAGCTTTAAAACTCTAAAGGAAATAAAATTTCGTTGTCAATCTCTATAAATTATCAAAAGATTTAGGAGATGTGGATATAACTGGTACATTTATAGTTTTTTCTTAACAGAAATTAATTTCTAACCCAGAGACATATAGTATTACCTTGAGAAGTAATATTCAAGCTGATTCTGTAACATTTGCTTCAGCTGATCATGAGTTAATCCTCCGTCCGGGGCCTGTCCCCCTCCATCCGGGGTTCCAGCGCCTCCGGATCCTGCAAGCGGTTGCTGCTGCTGCTGTGGTGGCTGTTGAGGTGGCATCGATTGTGAGAGTTGTTGAGGAGCCAGCTGTTGCTGTGAAGGCAACTGTTGTCCCGTAATATGTTGAAGCTGCATCTGCTGTTGTGCATCGTATTGCTGTTGGTGCGTGTTAACGATCATCTGGTTGTTGGGGAGCTGTTGAATACCCTGCTGTGGAAGTGAGGGGGGAAGGCTGGATTGTGGTTGCTGCATTGACTGCTGCTGTAGGTTTTGCTGTTGACCCATTTGCTGATGTTGCATAACCTAAAATAAAAATTTAAACAAATCAATTAACATTCAAAAACATAATCATGGCCTAATGGACAATTAGATCTATCTAGATTACAATTTGATCTATCTACTAATTTAGCGTCATAAAAACTAAATTCGAGGGTGGGATAAATTGGGTGAGGTGCTGAGACAAAATTGAGAATTATCTGGTATGTTACTACTGCTGGGAATAAATTCCATCAGCTTTCTAAACTTGGGAGGGGNGTTCACTTTCTTCACTTACTAAAAATCTTTAATTTACAGATTTTATGTATTTAGGTCTAGGATGATGTGAACTGTATATTTTCAGGTAAACTTGTATAAATATTAAATGGTATAAAGTTTATCTTTTATGGGAAGATATATGGCTTACCACATACCATACATACATTTGTGGTAAACTGTGCGGCGGTTGTATTTTTTCTTCTTTTTTTAAATGAAGTGGTAAATATTAAAGCCAGACATGTACAAAATGCATTGAACTATATGTCTTCTATCTGTTGTGGTGAAAATGTAAAACGTAAACCTGATGTTGTTAACTGTGTAACTGGTGTGGTAAACATATTTCGTATTTAGTGTGGAAAACGTTCTGTCTGGTATGATAAACTATTCACCTGATGAGGTTGCGGTTGCATGGTAGATATGTAGGGTGAAGTATTCATCATAGACATTTGATCATAAGCCGGCATTTGCTGGGACATCGACATGTATCCCGGATTAGGGTGAGCAGAGTAGGAAGGGGTGTAGGTGCTAGTAAGAGGAGTAGGGGCATAGGTCTGACTTGTAACAGAGTACTGATTGTATCCCTGTGTGTTAGGTAGGTAGGATTGAGATGGATGAACAAGAGGTAGAGGCGGGGCTGAATGGTTCCCTCCCATCATAACCATATCCATTGAGGGCCCATTAACCACACCGTAGTCGAACTGCGGCATTGCGACCGGGACCGTCATGTTGTATTCCATGGAGGGATGCATACTGGAGGAGACAGGTGGAGGCACCGCTGCCCCATACATACCTACCGATACAATGGTAACACCGACTCAACCCTGAAATATGAACAAATTTGTCAAAATCTGAAAGGATTTCAATTTATTTATTATTATTAGAAACAATAATAAATATCCCTTGGACAAAAAACCATGTTTCATATTGAAATTGAATCCTTGAAAACAATGATTGTCAAAAATAAAATCATGTAAAAATAAAGGAGAGAGAAACAACATGTCTAAAAAATACAGTACGAAACTTATTTCTCAACAATTCAATCTTCTTAACGTAATGTAACATTTGATTTGATCAATTATGTGGCATCAGAAAAAATTAATGAAAATTGATGCTAGGAATTCGCCATGCTTATTAGTATTATTAGTATTATTTATATTATTTGTATCTTTAGTAACTCACCTTCTTATTGAGTGAGAGTAGGGTTTCCCAAAAGGAATAAACTGAAGAGATCCATGTGAGCGGAATCAAGGGATTCTATTCCGCGTTGAATTTAACTAAGATCCCTGAAAGGATTGTGACACTATGGATCTGTGCCCCTAACTAGAGATTATATGAATACTCTAGGCTGTAGGTATATAGCATGAACCTGCGCTATACGAGCCAGGTTCTCACCTGAAATAAAATATAAATTAATAAACTTCTCATTATCAACTTCACAAAAATAAAACTGACACAATAAAGTTATCAACTTTTTTAAAACTAGACATAAGAATGAATTCGGAAAAGGGCGTTAATTCAAGACAAATTTCAACTTTCATATCTGACGACACTGTGCAGACAAGTTAAAAGGCGACGGGTTAAAGTTCAAAAAACAAAACATAAACAACATAATTGCACAATCTGCAGTACAGGCGTACGCAATGCGTCCAACCCCCCGATGTAGGGAAGGTATAAAAGTTACAATTTTCTCGGCGGTTGGGCGGCTCCACGAGCATACCATGCCAGAACTAGACCGAGTTCAGTTAGCAAGATGGCCGAATACTGGAATTTGCGGCAATTTGCCGGAAACCTTCTCCTTTCCAGTATCCACAATCCACAACTCCTTCCCCCTCCCTTCTCCTTCCATGCTGGACGAAACCCTGCAATAATACCCTCCCCCTCACCGAAATTTAAAAATTGTTTATTTTTTAAAATTTTAACGAAAATCAAAGAAATTTTTTTGTGCATTAAATCCATCAAGAAATTTTTTTCATGTTTCAGTATATAATTATTAATTTGTTTTGATCATAGAGATAGAGAAATTTTATTTTTTTCGTAACTAAAATTATGTGCATGCTCCAATTCTGTCTTGGGTGGAAAGAAACGGCCTTTACCCCCCATCCCCTCTTGCCCCCGGGGAATTCATTTTCATTTTTAATTCACATTCAATTTTAAGTCCTAATTTAATTTAACGCCTTATACCACCGCGGAAAGTTGGCAATCAGGGACACTAAACATATTATAATTGCTTGAGAATTCTGGCGTCATGTCGGCCGGACTACTATCGGTATTTGATTCATTCCGACATTATTTTTCTTGTAAAATTTATTCATCATAAACTGCAGATAAATTCTTATTGCTTTAATTTTGAGGTAAGGCGTTAAAAATTATAAAAAAAAAACTGTTGCGAACTTATTTTTGGAGAAAAAGACATTTAAATTAATGATTTTTATTCTATAAAATGTTTATCACATATGAATTCATATCTGATCATCATATCATTGTCTTTTGAGTCAGCTTTAGTGTGGCACAAATGTTTATTACCGATCAGTTTTAGTTCCGATAATGTAGCACCTGTAGATTTGTAACTTTTCAAAGGCCGATGTAAGACGATATCACCGGATTCAGCTGTTTTTCTTCGAAAAAGCCGGATTCTTATAAATTCCACCAATCGAAAACAAACATGATAATTAACACGCAGGGTCAAATATTTTTTTCAATTATAACAGCATATATAAATACAATGACGTGCTAGCAGTCTCCTTTTCAAAGATTTTTTGAGAAATTCAAATTAACATTATTTTACCTTTTATACAACAGAATAGAAAAAATTGCATATTTTCAATGATAGAATTGAGGTTTTTTAAAACTAAAAGACAAAAAAAAGATTTCAATTTTTTTTTTGAAAATCTTTAGAAAATGGACCGAGTACATTTTGAAGGCTAGAACGGCAATTTAGATTAAAATCTTTTTACGGCAACCCCAATTTATTGACATTATATATATACTAGACTCTCATTGTAGTAGAATAAAACGACGTTTAGTCGGTTTACACGCAATTAATATCTTTGGAAATGGGACGAGCACATTTTCGAATATTATGCCTAATTTTTAACACGGCATTTTACAGAGAAATGTTACATTTTCGACCCCCCTCCATCTATGGGTTTTGTACCTCTAGAAGTACTTTTTACTACAAAACAATGAATTTTAGTAGACAAAAAGCCTAAACACACTTTTTTCGGAGAAACCTTGTAGTCTAACCCTGAAATAATAAAAAATAAATATAAATTTATTAAAATAGAAAAGTTGAAATTGCGTATGCAAGCATAATAGGGCAGGGGGGGGGGGTCAAAAATCCCGATATTAGAACTGAAACAAATCCGTTCCATAAATTCAAGTGTTTGTTTATGTTTAAAGAATCTTGCGCTTTGCCGCGTACCATAACCAGAGTCCGCTGCAGGTACGAGTTCTCTCCAGACTTAAATTAGAAAATGTCAATATACTTGAATTAGAAATTATCATTAAACTTTAATTAGAAAATGTCATTATACTTAAATTAGAAATTATCATTAAACTTAAATTAGATAATGTCATTATACTTAAATTAGAAAATATCATTATACTTAAATTAGATAATGTCATTATACTTGAATCTTGCGCTTTGCCGCGTAGCATAACCAGAGTTCGCTGCAGGTACGAGTTCTCTCCAGGCATCACACCGGCAATGAAAGAGGTTGATAACGATGAAAACACAGTACAAAATATCAGTATTTTTTACATACTAAAAATACAGATCTTTAGCCTGGGAGTTTTATCTGATAATGTCCATGCACTCTACTTAAATTTTTAAAACCAGGTTAAGAACATTTCTGTGGTTCCACCGGGTTTTCCAATCAAAATTTGAGGCAAATTTGTCCACGGGTTCATGAGTTATGATCTTGTAGTATGCTGAGCAAGTCAAATGTTTGCTAAGTTAATATACGTTCTTATTGTTTACAGTAACAATATCAACTTGGATACAGGGTTACTCACAAAAAGTATGAGACTGCAGAGACGACTGTACGGAATTTATTCAGTCTTTATATTCTTAAAATTCGGAGATGGTGATGGACCAAACCTCTGTAGAGTAAAAAAAGTAGATGTTAGTTTCACATTTATTATATTCTTATGTGTACGTTTCACTACAATTGTGAGCTAATTTCTGTTCATGCCATGTCGATAAGTTTGTCATTTAAAGCAATGTTAACGGCAGAAGAAAGCCAAGTTTATTACATTTAAAGCAATGTTAACGGCAGAAGAAAGCCAAGTTTATTACATTTAAAGCAATGTTAACGGCAGAAGAAAGCCAAGTTTTTTACATTTTAAGAGTTACAGGTCGGCATTCAAGTCGCACCCTTCCTGAGTAACCCTGTACAATGTACATCACTGTAACTTACCCGTAAAACATTTGTGAAAATAAGAAGAAAGAGATAAATTCATGACAGAGTAGTAAAACCTATAATGAAGGTGTGTTATATCGATTTTCTGATGTTGGTTTTTGAGCTTGGTCTTATGTCAACCCCCTCCAGGGTATTTTCTCCTTTTTCTGAAAGCTTCTAAAATAATTTGACGTATCATCCATTTCTTTCCAGCAGGAATAAGTTGTTATTGCGTGAAGACCTGAGGCAATAATGACGGATTGTGGTAGAGATGGCACAGGTTGAAAGCTCGATGAGAATTTTACCAATTACTTCATAAATACTTATAATAAACTAGTACTTTTGTATCAAGTATGGCTGCTAAAAAATTAAAAGTGAGTCAGTCCAAAGTCAAATAAAAGGCCAAGGCGTTGTGACAATTCGAAGTCGACCCGGTTTAGATAAATATTTTCGTCTAAGTATATGGATTTATGAAAGGGAAGTTTTAAAAATTAAACAATTTATTTTAAATATATATATGTACACTGTCTATTGTACATTGTACATATGTAAATTTAATATATAAAGTAAACAGAATGCTTTATTAAATTTTTTTTTTATTTTAGAATTTGGGAAGATAAATCAAGTTTATTTCTCTACTTAATGTTTAAATGTTCATTTTTCCTCATGTCCCCGGCTAATAATGATATTTTAGACTGCTTTTAATAGTAGAAATATCCCAAAGAATAATTATGAAAATTATAAACGTCACAACCTTAAACGAGATAAAATCAAGGATTTAAAATTTTGTTTAAAATGACAAGATTCCCGTCTCTACTAGTTTTATGAGGATTATTAACTCTTATTAGTTAACGTGTAAAGTTAATTAAAGCTTTAACAGCGGGGGTGGGGTAAAGGCTAAATCTGTCAGAGTTGTGTCATGTTTAGGCGCAACTCGTTGGGGTTTTTAAAAGGGGGGTCAGGAATTTCCCTCTCCAAAGCATGGGGAGGGAGGGGAGGGATGAGTGTTGGTTTTAATTTAGTTTTGTAGCATCAGAAAAATGACGATTTTTTGTAAGTTTAAAGCTTATCTTAAACTTTTGCTTTTTAGTTTTCAGTTATATACGCCTCACAATCATTTGATAAAGGAAAGTCTAACTAAGCATAGTTGGGAAAGGCTAAATCTGTCAGAGTTGTGTCATGTTTAGGCGCAACTCGTTGGGGTTTTTAAAAGGGGGGTCAGGAATTTCCCTCTCCAAAGCATGGGGAGGGAGGGGAGGGATGGGTGTTGGTGTTAATTTAGTTTTGTAGCATCAGAAAAATGACGAATTTTTGTAAGTTTAAACCAATTATCTTAAACTTTTGCTTTTTAGTTTTCAGTTATATACGCCTCACAATCATTTGATAAAGGAAAGTCTAACTAAGCATAATTGGGAATTTTCAAGAAAACATCTTCCCCCTCTTCTTTAAGCTTCTAGGATATAAGGTTTAAATGTAATTACGCTAGACAAGAATCCAGCAAAGTTTTATCAGCTGTTCAAAGTACATAAAACTCACATTCCAGGAGATACTCCACCAAGTAGGCCTATTATCAGTGGCTCAGGAAGTTACACAGAGAATATAAGTTTATTTGTGGACAGTTTTCTGAAACCCCTTTCCAACTTACACCCATCTTATCTTCAGGATACTCCAGATTTTTTGAGATGTATTGAAGAAATTAACAAAGATAATTTACCAGCCAACTCTATTCTATTCTCTGTAGATGTTACAGGATTGTACACAAATATNGGGGGGCCTCATTTATGAAATTATTGAATAATCGTTTTGTTTGTTTATATTCTTGTGATTTTTACATTTTTTTATTTTTTTAATCGATTTTGATGGTTATTATATCGTTAGAACTGACGAGGGTCAACCCAGACCGAAATATATTTTCAATAAATGTGGAACTAACATCTACTTTTTTACTCTACAGAGGTTTGGTCCATCACCATCACTGAATTTTAAATCTAG